GCGGACTCCAGCTCAGGGCGCCCGCCAACCCTGCCGCTTCCTCGCCTCCCCCGTGCAGTTTATCTGCAAGAAAAGTACTTCTTGCAGCAGATGTGAAAGTCACCTCTCCTGCGCCTGGGCGCCCGGCCAAGCTGCCAGGTCCCTCTGGGCCCTAGGCTTCTCCCGCATGATGTCATCCCCGCCCCCGCGGCAGTAAGTGGTTCCTGCTGTAAAAGTGGAGCCCCTGGGTGGCTTCTGTGGTGGGGGTTCAAACCCACCCGGGGGCACCTCCAAAGGAAGGTCGCCGCTGTGTAAGCTGCGTGGCGCATGCAATCCCACCTTATAGCGCGCGTGTGGGGCTCCGCCTGCCCTTCAGGGTGGCCTGCACTGCCCAGATGGGGTTTGGTTCTGGGCAGTGAGACTCTTCAGGAGGGAGGTGGCGCAGGCTCAGTCCCCCTGGCTGGGTGTTCCCTCCCAGGTAGAAGGAGACAGACTACCTGCAGCACTGACCTGAGCCACCGTCTCCCACTGCGTGGCCTCGTCCTCACTCGGGTGGATGCCATAGTTCCACCGCCTCTGCACCACGTGGATCACAGGATCAATGGAGATGTTGAATTTCGAGGACCACCTCACCTCCAGCTGCCCGGACGGCAGCTCTGTGAACCGCAACTCCTTCCTGGGCTTCAGGGGGACACCTGCAAGGGGGCCACTGAGATCACAACCACCCAAAGAAAGCCAAGACGGGAAATCCCCACCCCTCAGATGACCACAGATCCCCTGCTTCCTTCCCGAAGGATGGCCGGCCTCTGCAGCAGGCCCTCGCCGGCCCTCTGCCGACACAGGGCGGCCCATCACACTGCCAAGCCATTACCTCGATTTCTGTGGTCGTTATAGAATCGTTTGTCAATCTGAGAGGATTGAGTGTGAAGGAGAGGAGTCTAGCCTGTCAATGAGGCCTCTGGGTAGGCATGGCCTTCTCCTGAGGATTCTGGGAACTCCTGTCTTCCTCCTCGGAGGCGGGAGACTCTCTCTCTCTGCTCACTCCCTGAGAGATGCTCTACTGACCAGACACATGGTGCTACACTGATAGAGCGCGGGGCTTGGAGCTGGAGGCGCCACGTGGAGACCCCTGTCACCGCTGAGATGCTTACACCACCACCAGAGACTTCCCACCCACTGGCCTGTGGCCGTCCTG